AATTAATTAAAAATACTCTGGACTGAAATTTGCTAGGCAACCCATATGGATTATATTTATTGACATATTAAATTATATATAAAATAAGTTTCATTAAATAAGCATCTCGGTGAAGGTCGTTGTATAGCGGATCTTAGACCATAAAGCTTGTTTCATGTACTTATCTTTATAAATCTTCTGTAGGTATGTTTTTAATTAAACTCCTTCAAAACGGCTGAACCAATTTGATGAAATTTGTGTGTACAAGAGGATTCGAGGTTTAGATTGTATTTACAAGTACAAAACAACGTTTGTCGATTCCTCTAATTATATATGAAAATATCTATGTTTATCTACAGCCCCCAAACTGATTGAGCTTTTAAATAATCCGCAGCTACAAAAAACTTAAAATTTCACAGCAAAAAAATCCCTCGTTGCCAGAAATGTATCGATCATAAAAACACTTATCCTCCCGAGAGCTTTATTAATATTTAATGGCATGTCAACACGACTGTACATTATTGATTTGGGACCATTCCAAAACATAGCTATAATGTTTCCTTTCAAATGACTTGTTCTTTGATGTTTGATGCATTTCTTGACCGACTTATCGAAAGGCTGTTTTTGTTTGTTGCGTAAGACGAGAAATCAGCACAATTTACCTACTCCATAAATCGCTTTGCTGTTAAAAAAGACTTGGCGATTAAAAAGAGTGGCGGAGAGTTTATTGCCAGTTCTTCTCTTTCGTTTTACGCCCTTGATTTGAGAACTGGTAGTAAATGTAAAATTAGAAGCATTTAATATGTATTTCTTTTTTGACGTTCATAAGTCTACATTGTGTTGCACGATTTTGACTTTGACTTTGAACTGCGGGACCCTCAACACAATAATGTGCCGTGCCACAGAGAATTATATTTACTTATGTCTGCGAACGAGCGTCTTAGAAATTATTACTATTCATTGTCACATAATGCCTGTTGTAACATCGATGCGACGTACCTGCACTTTTGTAACAAATATGGTACATATTGTTAGAAACTAATATTTTAATTTTATATAGTGTATTTTCAAATAATTTCATAACACAATGTACATAACTAACTTACTCTAAATTTTCTCGCTAAGTGAATGTAATTCTTTGAGAAATAAAGTATCTTTGAACCATAAAACGGTACGCAATACGAAAGAATGAATTACACTCATATACAGTTAATAATGTATTTCATGTTAACTCCGCCTTACCAAGTTGGTATCAACGAGTATCTTGGACAGTTCCGATAGGAAGTCATTAACAGTTTACTTGGTTAAAAAAAACAGTAGGAAGAAATTAGGAATAAAAGTGAGTAGAAGTCTATGGCCCCTTTAGAAAGCAGACATAAGCTATATAAATAACTACAAATATAAGAGTAAAAATTTTGTTTGTAGGTTCATATGTAGGAGGATGTATACAAAACCGGAAATAAAGCAACATCTGCGCCGCCCTACGTATTAAATATGTAATCAACATATTACTAATATATGCAAGCGTATTAAACTGGTTGTAATATTTTCTATAAATTAAAAAAAATCAGTGGCGCTACAAGTCTTTAGGCCTGGGCCTCAAATTTCTGAATCTGTTTCATGATCATTTTTTAATATAAAAGGCAAGTAGGTGATCAGCCTCCTGTGCCTGACACACGCCGTCTAGGTTTTGGGTCTAAGGCAAGCCGGTTTCCTCACGATGTTTTCCAGTCGGGGATCGAACCTACGACCTCAGGGATGAGAGTCGCACGCTGAAGCCACTAGGCTAACACTTCTTGTATTTCATTTTCTATACAAGTATTAGTTAAATGGTTGAGATACATATATTATTTTATAAAGAACAGTGTTACCATATGTATGGAATTAAATTATAATAGCAGCCGTACTTAAGGTAGCATTTAGAGACGATAATTAACACTAACTATAATATAAAATATTTGTCAAAACTCTATTGGATTCAGTTAAATCGTTACCCGGAATTATACAATTCAATACTTTTTCTATACAAGAGTCATACTAGACACTAAACCTCAGTTCATTCACGTTCAGTACAAGATAACGCTTTAAGCTATTTCTTGAATAATTGAAGCTAAAAATCTTCCACTGTCCCATGTATTTCATTGTTAATTAAGTGTTAAATTTTTGTAGGTGAATACTATTAAAATATTTTTTTTTAATTTTCTCAAATTTAATCACGTGAATGACGAGGCTATACAACTCCTTGACATCACGGGCCTAGTGAGAAGACTTAAAAAGTCAAAACCATTTGAACTAGTGAATTAGTGTTAGTGCACGTTAGTATTAAGTGCTAAACAGTGAGTGAAAAAATAAAACACAAGAACAGTGTCTTCCCTTTAATAGAGACTGTAAGTAGTTATTGGACAGACAGACACAGAAATACACTTATATATAAAAAAAACTATATGGCGGGTGATATGGTTAAAGTAAAAAAGTACATCATTACATAAAATAAATAATAACAAATATTTAGTTTCATGCATTTTATAGACATCCGAAACAATATATTAGACCGCGATTTTTGTAGCTTGTACTCATGTATTGTTCCTTCAATCTACAATAGTTATTATTAGCGAGATTCAAAGCATTCGATAAATGACAAGTATCCGAAGTGAACAACTATTATTCAATGGAGCCGAGTGAATTGTCATAGACAACTCGGGAAATGCTAGCTATGCTTTCAACGATAATACCTGTGAATAAGTTGTCTATGAGGTGAGAAAAGACGTGCATATGTGACTTGACAAACAGGAAAGCTTTTTTTTTTCAACAAGTAATTATAGAATCTTGTTTATTCATAAGTCTTATTTCTTTCATCCTTCGATATAGTCGTGACATAAACACAACAAGGTCGAAATTTTAAATTTGTCTCGTAATTGTTTTATGATCAGTTTTATATATATATTTTTTAAGTTACTAATAATAATAAAAGCCCTTTATTCACTGACCTTTAAATTTACATGCTACTCTTATTTAACAGTACCTAGTATCTTAAATCTAATTTACATAGCGAAAATAATAATTTATTAACAACCACTTTGGTCAGGTTGTCTGTCGACATAGGCCTCCCCCAATTGTTCTACGTCTCTCTATCCTTGGCAGACCTTTTCCATCCTTTTGGTAGATCGTCCTCCCATCTTTTAATTTGACCACCATTCTATGATCTTAGCGTTACAGTCTAACATGATAATTATGTTCTTCTTTTGCATTAATTCTGTCATGTCTTTATAAAATGTCTTTCGTTAATTTTTTTAACAGTTACTCCACATTAAATATAATCATACAAATCAAATAGCTAAAAATGTTCAAGAATGTGCAACCAAGTTACGGTGAACAAAAATGATTAAAACCCCATATAAACGAACAATTATAATGTACACCTTCATAATATATCGCTTATTAACCCCTTCACATAACAATCAAATATACAGTATTTACAATTTTCTTAACCTACATAGTAATAATCATAACAGTTTTATATTATATTTATAGGTAAAATTATGTATACCTAATACAATAAGTTTTCCAAACGCTTGGTCACCTCACAGTCTGTGGTTAGACTATTTTTAGTCTTAAATCAATTCTGAATCGTTCCCGGCGCGTGCAATTTCATAACCCTATCTATAAAGTATAAAGGCGGAAAATTGTATTTCAATCACTATTCTATTGTCCGCTCTCATACCTCTTTGTACATTACGAGTACGGAGATGTTTCGATAGTACAATAAAACTACGTTAGTAGTTATTGTAATGAGCTATAGACCCTTTTCATTGCCGTTTTATTTAACAATTTTAAGGCAAGTAGGTGATCAGCCATCTCCGTAACAAGAAATACTAAGTAGGCCGTATGAGTTAATACTATACCTAATATAATTTAATGCGTCCTTAAGAATGATGAAATTAAAAACAAACTTAACTCTATAGTTTATTGTTCAAAATTTCCTGAAATTCGTCATCGAGGTGGCAGGAAAGCTTAACACAAGAAGGATTAAGCATCTAATCTAAGCTTTCGAGTTTTATTACGCGCAATCAGCTTAACTCCTTACATTTTATCATCTTGGATTAATATCGAAAGCAAAGTGATTCGGACTAACCCTAGCTATAAAGCCAAGTTAGAGGTCGCGGACTCATTTGAGAAGGGTGTATATCGTAGTAGCGAGTAAGCGAGTAGCGGCCGCGATACTCTGTGAATGGATCGATCGAGGTCATCGACCCCACAGCTGACGCACAGGTAAACACTTCCGACGGATCCAAACCCAACTTAAACTACCAAAACTATCGGCTTCTTAGCTAAATAGTTATTCAAACTTTTTTATTAAACTCACTTCAAAGAAAAATGCAGGAGTTATGAGGGCAATTATTATATATAAACATTGTTACATTTATAATTATCAGGTTGCTCATAAATGTTATAGTATTTGTAGTTTAGTTAGAAAATAAATATTGTTAAATGTTGCAAGCAATTTATATTTAAAAAAAAATGAATTTTAGAATTTTATATAACTCGAATTTTCGGGTTTTCAGTTAAAGGATTAAGATTAGCCGTAAAAAGGTAACAGTCGACAAGAAGCTCTCGTATACATAATTATGTAAAATTCATGTAATATTCTCTCTTTTATATGTATAATTTTTACTATTGTCGGCAAAAGGATGAGAGCCGTTCTAGTATTAGTAACCGAAACACAAAGCATTTTTCTATTTAGAGGCAGCTAGAAAATGTTTTCTATTTTCCTTTTAAATCAACAATATGTGAACGCTGTCTCTGTTATTTTGCAAAATGTAAGAAAAATATGGCAATAAAAATCAGAAGAGTAAAATCGAATTTCCTGCCGAAGTAGAGAAGCGGCGGCGCGGAGCCAAGAATGGCAGGAGAGATACTTGAGAGGCGCGCCCTTTCATTGATAATAATTGTTGTTCGCTACGCAATCTGCATTGTATTTTATGGATTTTCAAAAGAAATTGTTACCATTTTTATTTTACACTTTACATTAGAAATGTATTTAGTTCTATTTGCAACAGTAAAAAGTCGTGTGAATTGATTTCATTCATACCTGATTCGGGACTATGCTCGATGGAGTGCAGATCCTGTTGGGATCTGCGGCGTTGCCTGTAATCAACACGATATTCTGGCCAGCGACCATACTGCGCCGGCGCATTCAAATACTCCTGCGAGGAAAACCGGGAAGTTCTCGCTGGGAAGCCAACTTGCCCGTAATAGTCCTGCCTGTATACCACATCTGGGTGGATTCCGCCAGGCACTATCTGGCTTCCAAAGTGGTTCCGATGACCTAAATACTCTGGCTTCATTGGTGCATCTGTCAACTCATGGCCTTGAATAGACGATGATCTTTGCGGAACGTAATCCCTTAATCGGTTAGAGAACTCCAGGCCCATTCGATGTGGTGAATAGTCTAAGCCACGAGGACCCATCTCGAAGTGGCTAGCTGTTCTTCCTCTATAAATGTTGGGAGAGAAAGGATTCTTGCTCTCCCGAGGCGCTTCCTGTTTGTCTGCCTTGTCTTTGTCATTCTGGGCGTCTCGATCTGGTCGCTTGTCGTCATGGGAGGTGCGCCGGTTCAACTCCTGCGCTTTCTCAGCTACGAAACCCTGTTGCGGTGCTTGCGACATGTCTACTTGTAAATTGTATACATTTAAAAACACTACGAGCTTATCAAAATTGTAAACAGTAACACATTCAAAATGCTTGATACACAGGAAATAAAATCACAACCGTATACATGTAACTAGAAAATATACACTATTTTTAGTAAATGTCTTAGAAAATGTTTTTGTAAGGTCTGCCTTGGAATTATACTTTTAATTACAAAGGAATTGTTTGCACATGTTTCATGATTGCTATATAAATGTAAATAAAAAAGCACCATAAATATAATGAAGGAGTGTTTTAATAGAGCCAAAATGCCGAAATTATTATGGCAATTTTTTTCATTAAATTATTAGATATATCGTATTTGACAAAATATTTTTGAAATAAAACTTCTTTAGGCGCATGAGTGTAAATTTTTTACGGATGTAACGTCACGAAGATGATCAGCGTTTTTGTCGAAGGGAGAGAGCGATTGAGACCGATTGAGAGAGAGTGAGAAGGGCGAATTACCTTATAGAAATTATATTTTTAAAATGAAAATTTCGTATAGAGAATTTATGAAATATTAATATTTTATATTTTATGCAATATAATTTATTGAAATCTCAAAAGACGAATTGTAAATTAAAATGACACGTGTTTTTATTATCCAAGATATAAATTTAAAAATTTGTATTATTTTCGACACTTTAATATTTCAATGATAATTAATAAAACTCCTAACATATCTTCCTTTTTCCCTCTATCTAAGTCTCAAAAATCTAAAGTTTTTATTTGTATAAATATGAACAAGACTTAAAAATTAGTTTGCCAAAGAAGTTTCACTTATCATATTCTTAAACCAATTTTATAATTTCGTAACTGTTTAATGGTGTCGATAGAATCATTTAGATCAATATCAACAAGAAAGCTAACTACAGTCTTCATTCACCTATTGAAAAATATAGGAGCCGCAAACCATATTGTTTCCAGCTAGTGTCAAGCTGTGATAGGTCAGACCGCCAGCCAGACACTGGACGAACGCCAACGACTCTTATCTAACGTCTATAACTACAAAATGCACGGTTGATGCGTATCGATCTAATTTTTTTGTAATAGAACAGGGGACAACCTGGCAGGAGGCCCATCTGATGTTAAGTGATACCGCCGCTCATGGAGGCCTCGCGAGTGTGCTGCAGGCGTTTTAATAATTGGTTCGCTCTTCTCTTGAAAGACCCTAAGTCGAATTGGTTGGAAAATACTTCAGTGGGGAGATGTTTCCACATAGTGGTGGTGCGCGGCAGAAACTGCCTTCAAAACCGCTTAGTTATGGAACGGCGGACGTGCGATGATGAAACTAATTACGGATATATTTTAACAAAACTGTGTAATAAAACAGCAGATTTATTACACAGATTATTCAGATTGTTTAGATCGTTTTGATAGCCTTCAAAACGATCTAAACAAATGTAAGAAGAGAATTCATTCAGAAAAATCGCTACTTTATTTAACTCAATTCGAAAAACTTTTCATATAATAATTTATCAACTTAAGTTATATGAACGAAATTTACAAGAGAAATGTCTTGCATAAAAGACTTGGCTACACAGCAGTGAGTTATGGAGGCTTTTAAGGAAATACCTGCTTTACGCTTAACGTAGGAGGAAATTAAGGAATACCTTAAGCGGACTAAAACTGAATACAATATTAGGTAGTTTCTTATTTTATATAGCTTAAGAATGTACTTGAAGAATAGTAACATAGTGTCAATCAATACGCCTACATTGTTATTAATGTAATCATGCGTTTATATCCGTTAAAGTTAAATCTCTTTCGTAATCCAAAAATAATATAATTTACTATAGTCTCTTTTTATTACAGCGTAAAGCAAAAGGACGGACAGAGAGCAACGCTCACGGTTCCTACTCTGTAATCGGTTTGATTTAGTTTTTATTCATAAGATTTTTTTTAAGCAACGATCACAAACGATTATATAAATAATATACCGTAAAATAACACAATGATCTGCAGCAGCTGAAAGCCAGCAACTGGGAGGTAGCACAGGACAGGGAGTGCTGGAAGTATCTAATTTCAGTAATGTATCCAACTTTGTTTGTCTTGGGTATGGTATTATACAACAAGTTAGAGGTAAGGACCTTACTATCACATTATATTTTTTAACGTCCTTAGAGGTAAAATATATAATGCGGAAATGTTGGAGAGACTGGGGCTGCGTGCGCCAAATAACCACACTCGGCGTGGCAAGCGGTCGCAATTGCTGGCAGTGCCTCGGGCGCGTACTTATTTACTCAGAGAAATCCATTTACGCGTGTCTTGCGCACCCTAAATATTATTGCTTGTGAGACCGATATATTTAGTTGCACACTGGCAGAATTCACAAAAATTGCATTATTTATAATTAGTTATAAAAAGGTTTACTTTTCTATTGTATTAGTATTAAGTTACTGTAAAAATAGGAAAATAAATAAATAAATTTCGGAGCTAGCGGAGTAAGTAAGTAGTAAAATAATACCGTTTCGATATTTGATTTTATATAGATAACTGAAGACCTGGCATGACTCAACCATAATTTTATTGGTTACACATGATCACTATAAATTTGAAATTAAACGACGGGAAATGACATATATTCCGTTCATAAACAACATGTAATCGAACATGTTTATTATTGCACGCGACCAAAATAAACTTCATTTTTATTAGCTCAATACAGCTGGTTTGAAAATTACAATCCCTCCAAAAATAGATATGTGGAATTATTTGGACCCACACCATAGACTAAAAACACTAGCAATCAGCGTCTAGCGTCATTTCTGCGGTTGATACGATTTACATACTTGTAATATGTATCTGGATAATATGGATATCTGAAAGAAGAAAAACAGGTCCTCTGGAAATGTGGTGTTGGAGCGGATACGTCGGATTCCCTGGACAGGGAAACAAACGTGTCCATACTAAGACGGTTACAGGTAACAAATCGTCTTTCGATACTTTGTTACCACCGCATCTTGAGTTTTTTGGACATGTAACACGCAGAGATCCAGAAAGTTTAGAAAAACACATCGTGACTGGCAGAGTGAAGGGCACCAGACCTCGAGGCGATCCCCTACTAGCTGGACTGATGAAGTAAAGGCCCTTACAGGTCTTACCATCACCCCGTAGCAGAGGCTTGCCAAAGACAGGGGAGAGTGGAGGAAGTAGCGCGGTGCCATTAACACGTGAAGAGTGTGACAGAAGAAGAAGAATACTTCTATGCCTACTAACAATATTATTTCTCTGGAAATCAAACCCAAGATTGCCTGACTTTACGCAACAATGTTTATCGGCCTTTTATCGTCATTTTGTAAGATATGAATCTATCTTTGTCTTAATTCAACGTCAAAAAATTAAATGAGACCCCCTATCGAATAGCCGCGTCAATTGTCAAATGTTTATGAGGCAGTTTTAGTTATTGACAGTCACTTCAATTGCACAGATTATCCATCAATGCCCTCATTGACGTCTTTTATGTGACCACCTTGAATGGGCATCAGACAAATTGATGGAACTCGAATGAATATCTAACTGAATAAACAATCCTTCTCTGATTCTGATCTAATTCAGATCTTAGTTTCATACAAACAAACCATGAATAAAAATACATCTAAAACCGATCAAAGCTATTCAGTTTAATAAATCGCTGGCGGACGTAATTGTGTGTCCGTAACGTAAGTATCCTTCATCAAACATGAAGTACTCATACATATTTATTGCGCCGACTCTGCTCGCTTGGATCACTTCCAAATTTAGTGATGTACTTATAACAAGTCGATAGAGTTTTCAACTGATTTTAACTTTCTATACATTTAATTTTTACTAGCGGACCTGACAAGCGTTGCCTGCATGATATGATATTTCAAGCGATTAGTATATTAAACAAAGTATGATAGTGCCGACTGCAGCGCAAACGCCATAAGGTTACAGTTAAAGATTGAATTGTATGGTGGTTAAGTATTCTTAAATTATTCTAATTTTCCGCGCAATTTTCTTATTCTTTTCTTTCATAAGAATCTTCTTCTGACAATAACAAACACAACATAAAAAAACTAGCTAAATCGGTTCGGCATTCACGCGTGATGCCGTGACCAAGGGAAATAGGGATTTATTTTTATATATATATATTTATTAATCAATAATCGCTTGCTTGACCTTTCCAAGAGTTTATAAATAAATAATATTTAAGGGTTCTAGCAGAGATTACAGACGATAATATAATAACAGTGTTAAACTGTTATCTCAAGCGTGTAATTTTCGACCTCAGTTGTAAAATTGATTTGCTGACAGAAGCCTCGTTTTAATAGTCTGGTGTAGTAAAAACATTGTGAAAAAACTAGTACGTTTTTGCCCAAAAAATAAAATGCATATCAGACATTGAAGCCAAATAGTCAATTATAGAGATGCTTGCCTAACAAATGGTTGCATTATTAGCAACGTTATGCAGAAAATCAATTCCCTTCGCAAATAATGCCATTAATTATAACTGAATTGTTGAAGCCACGTCGCAAGTAATTAACGTGCAGTCGATACCGGCAATAATTCCTGATATTATTTCATGTCGATACAAACACAAACGACAACACTCTACTCAACCTCTGGATGATTAACAATTGCTCTAATTAAGCATGAAATAATGTATGTATGTTAAACAGTGTTAGCCTAGTGGAAAAGTGAGTGATCTTGAAGAAGGAAAAGCTATCGCAGGAAGAGGTTCCCATAACAGAGACAGAAGCGCTGATAATGTTGAATTCATAAGACTCCGGGAACCAGATTTTCCCGATACGCGTGATCAAGTAAATTTGAATTTCTTAAGATGCTTAAGAAATCCAAAATTCTTTAAGAAAAGAGCAAAAAACCTGCCAAGTATTGTTTTATTGGTAGTGGTTTTCTTTAACCAGATGAGAGCATATGTTTCCTGTATGTTTTTAAAAAATATTCCCGTTGTATATAAGACTTGCTTGTCAATGCGCTGTTCACCACAATA